TTTTAATTAAATGAAAATGTCATTTAAAATTAGAACTCTAATTTTTTTTTTTTTAAATCAGAACTAATATACACTTTTCCACTTCTCTATATAGAGAGAGAGATGTTGCTAAGTTGATTGATCATCTTGTTTTGTTTAAAATGCATACATGCAGTTATTGCAGCAATCATTGTTGTTATAGTCATCACCCTCTTTATTCTCATTATTTGCCAAAAGAGGAAGAAGGAGAAATATTTTAGAGAAAATGGTGGTATGATATTGAAGCACCAAAGAATCAGGATTTTTAGCGAAGCAGAGTTAATAAAGGCAACCAACAACTATGACACTAGTCAATTCCTTGGAGAAGGAGGCTTTGGTTCAGTTTACAAGGCAGTTGTAGCAGACAACATCGAAGTTGCTGTTAAGAAGGCCAAAGAGGTGGACAAGGCAAGGATAAACCAGGAATTTCAGCATGAAATTGGCATTGTTTCTCAGGTTAACCATAAGAATGTTGTGAAGCTCTTAGGCTTATGTTTGGAGACCAAAGTTCCATTGCTGGTTTATGAGTTCATTTCAAATGGAACCCTTTACCATCATATCCATGACAAGCGATCACATGTTCTAAGGTCATGGAAGAATCGTCTGAGGATTGCTACAGAGACTGCGCTTGCACTTGACTATTTGCATTCTTTAGCAGACCCACCAATCATCCACGGTGATGTGAAGTCAATGAACATATTGTTGGACGATCATTACACAGCCAAAGTATCTGATTTTGGGGCTTCTGTACTTATCTCACCAAACCAAACTGGAATAGGCTCCAAAATACAAGGAACACTTGGCTATTTGGATCCGGAGTACCTAATGACTGGTAATTTGACAGCAAAGAGTGATGTTTATAGCTTTGGAGTCGTCTTGGTGGAGCTGTTGACTGGGGAGAAGCCTACTTCAGGTGTTAGAGATGGGGAGAAGAGAAACATCATTCAGTATTTCATTTTATCTGTTGAAGATCATTGTATTGCCCAAGTTTTGAATTTTGAGCCAACCAATGATGGGGAAATGGAGGAAGTAGAAGCAGTTGCTGAGCTTGTGAAGAGATGCCTCAATGTTAGTGGCCTAAGAAGGCCAACTATGAAAGAAGTTGCCGAGGAACTTGCAAGGCTAAAAAAGCTTAGCGATAACTTTTGGGCTCAAGGGGAAAATGAAGAAACTGAGTACTTGCTAGGAGAATCCTCATCATATACTAATGAATTTTTAAATACCAAGATGGAACAAATGGAGACCTATACGGTGCACACAACATTTGACATTGAACAGGCATCAACTCTCGGCATCTAGTCTTTCCTGCTACTATAAGCTTCCATGTGTGATTAGTTACGACATTTTCCTAAAAAATGCTGAGCATTTGTGAAGGCTTTCGTTGTTACTTGGTTCTTGGTTCTCTATGTTTATATAAGATAAGTGTTGTATTTGCTAAATTTGATTTAAACATGTCAAAAAGTCTATAAAAATATGATTTTTCTGGACTTAATGCATATAATATTAGTTGCCTCTCTTTCTGTTTGTATAGAAAAGGCAAATAATGTGAAGTAGAAGCAGTTACTGCTCTTGTGAAGAGATGCCTTAATGATAGTGGCCTAAGAAGGCCAACCATAAAGGAAGTCACCAAGGAGCTTTGTAAGCTGAAAAGGCTTGTTGACAACTTTTGGGTTTAGAAGGAGAATGAAGAGACTGAGTGCTTCTTAGGGAGAATCCTCATCTTATAGTTCTTATGAATATTCAAATACCAAGATGGAGTAGATGGAGACCTATACTTTTCACACAACACTTGAAATTTATCAAGCATATGTCAACTGTTGGCATCTAGCTAGTCCTGTTAAGTGGGGAAATCTCATATTGAGTATAAAAATAAGAAACTTGTGAGTTAAATATAAGGAAGGCCACTCCATCTATTGTCAATTGGTTTTAGGTTGGATACAAGTCTTGTGTTGAACCCACATGCACTATTTTCACATGGTATCAGAGCCTAGGTTCTGCCTTCCCCATTGTTAGCTCACTTGACAGGACCCGAAGTTGAAAATACCGAGCCTGTATTTAAAGGGGCGTGTTAACTCACTTGACAGGATCCGACATGGGGGCATGTTAAGTGGGAAAATTTCACATCAAGTATAAAAATAAGAACAACAATAAATAGAAACATCATATATAATAAGAGACTAAATGTTTTACAAGAGTCAAATTATGAGGAACTTAATACATAGTAGATATCAAAAATCCTGATATGAATATATCAATACTCTCGGAGACCCATTTCAAATGCTACATCTAAAGAAGTTAGCAAATATATGTTTATTTGTTCTTTTAGTTTTAAGCTCTTCTACTTCTTCTAGAGCTCATATTTTAAGATCTATCTCGACTTCAAGATATGCAAATATCACAAATTAACTCACAGATAATCAAACATGCCAAGGAATAACCAATAACATTCAATTCAAATTTAAGTCATAAAATCATTTCCTCACAAATGTAATGACATAGGCAAAATACATAAACAAACTCACACAATACTATAGAGTCCACTGATATGTGCTAACAACACTTGTACCAGAGCTAATCATGACACTTACACTATTGTGTAGAGGTCCATTAAATACCCCAGAAGGTCCACAGAATACCCCAAGGTTTAAGTTTGGGTCCACTTACTCCATAACCACAAACACATACAAATGTCAAATAAATTCAAAACACTTTCAAAATAATATAGGAATATTATTTCATTTATGTTTCACAAAATCAGTTGCATTTCTAAACACAATCCACTCAAGTCCGTGTTAAGGGGGAAAATCCCATATCGAGTATAAAAATAAAAAACTTGTGAGTTAAATACAAGAAAGGCTACTCCACAAGCCCTTCCATCTACTGAGTAGTTACAACATTTGCCTGAAAAATGCTAAGCATTTTAAAGCCTTTCCTTGCCACTTAGTTCTTTGGGTTCTTTATGTATTCATAAGTGTGGTAATTGCTAAATAAGTATGATATACGCAGGTCAAAACTGATCTCTATTAAATATGATTAGCTAGTCTTGTTCAATTACTAGCTGCCTCTTTCAGTTTGCATAGAAAGGGCAAATACTGTAAAAAATTACTAAATAAGTGATGGTGAGACATTCATATGAAGGCCTATCCACCATTATTTGAATATAAAATTTCTCTTGCACTTTGATATGTTTTAAGTAAATTTAAGATATATGTATAATCGAAAAGGAGAAAAGGACAAGTTTTTCTTTTGAAGATATGAAGTCTCAAACAAATCTTTCTTTAATTATAAACACACTTCTTATTCTTTTTTCCATGGCAAAAATATACAGAGAACATAACGTACATACAATCTTGTATGTCTTTGGCATGAAGCTTGGCTAAGTAGACATGACATCTCCCTTTTTCATATAAAATATGTACCACAAGCTCCCCACTAATTATTACCAACATAAATAATGGATGGATACTGATTTCAATAGTATCCATCCAGCAATATGTCACAAACAGCTTTGAATTAATTTGTACAGAGAAATCATGGTGTTATATGGTGCTTTCCTGCTGTGGTGGTCACACTTTGAATGAGGACTTGTCCAACCCCTTCTCCAAGCCCCTCAATTAGCCCCCCAATGAACTCTATCACGACCTTAGAAGCAACCCTGGCTGCAGTCCCCAGCATGCCTGGCTTCTCTACGCCCTTGAAGCCATTGGCTTGGAGCCCATTAATCATGCTCTTAGCACAAACAGCATGGAGATGGTAGTCACAGACGGTGCAACGATACACTCTCCCTGATCTCCTCCTCTTACACTCCCCACACTGAAAATCAAGGTTCCCATTGGATGAGTATTGCACCACAGGTAAGATCTTGAGGGTGTGTGGATGGGCCGGAACGTCGAGTTCTGTAGACAACATGGCACAGCATGGGTGCATCTGGAAATTGCAAGCAGTGCATATGAAAGCACTTCCTCTGATGGGTTTGGCACATATATCACACCTTGATTTTAAGAGTCCTCCTTTAACTTAAAAAAACAAACCCAACATTAAAAGTTATTTCAGAAAATTTTCAGCCCTTGAATTTCAATTAGTTGAGAATCTTACGTGTGTAGAAAGAAAAAGAAGAAAATTAAAGAAATGCTAACCTGGTTTAGAAAAGAACAGGAGTTTGTGCTGGAAGTGGAGGGGATGACTCTTGAGAGCTGAAGGAGCCAAGGCACAGAAATCATGAAGCTGGAAGTCACATTGGGAGCAGGTGTAGCGCTTGCCAGCGCCGTATTCTTTGCAGCTAGCGCAGGTGAAGCAGTTAGGCAGGTCAACCTGAGAGAGGGGGTGCTGAGGGTGGCTGAAATGGATGATTTGTTCTCCCATGATGAGCTGAGGCGAGGTTGGGGAGTCGATGAGGGGAGACTTTTTTGGTGGGGGGACTTGAGGGAGTTCCATGGAAGAATTAGGAGAATTGTTCAGAAGAAATGAAGTTGTCTTCTTCATATTAATTCCCTCCGCATGTTTTTGTTTAATGTTTAGATGAGTGCAAGAGGTTGCGGAGTAGATGGAGAATATTTATGGAGGGAAAGTTGAGGCCATGGCATGTGCTAACAGTATCACTACATGTACCGTGTAGAGTAGATAAAAAGTCATAAAGAAGACACACCACTCCACGAAAATCAAAAGGAGAGAATTAGCTCAAGATTATTTAGTTTAGTTATATTAATTTCTACAAACTAATTTCAAGTTGTATTTAAACTAAATATTGTTTAGAGATTTAAGTATATTTAAGAGATGATTAATGCCACTTGAAAAGCCAACATGAGAATATAAAGATAGGGCCCAAAAACAGTAAGGATTCTCAATCAGTTAACGCAGCGTAGCTTTGTGTATACTAAAGCCATAAATTGCAGATACCCATTTCTATCAAAAAAATTAAAGTTTTTTTCCCCTTTTTTCTTGTGGCTTTAAAAAACAATTAAACATGGGCAACTCTACATATATGGGACATATGATGAGTCCCCAAACGACATGAGGGTAGGGAATCCAAATCCCTTTTGCGAGTTTTCTAAATATTCGATTTTAAATATAGACTTTGAAGCCTTTTTCGTGTTCATTTGGTTAATGGAGATTCATGAAGATGGAGACTTACACCAAATATCTTGCTGTGGAGCATCTTATATATATTATACATATAAAGGAAAAATATAATAATGCAAGAAAGATGGATGCTTTTATGAATGATGAGTTTGACTAAATCTCTAATTATTAGTTTGTGTTTTACAAGTAATTCTCCAACAAAACACAAGGAAAACTACTACGTACAAACAATAAGTAAAAGCAAATATTCTCCACCTAACTAGCTAGTGATCATCTCTATATTTTTCATTTTCTTTAATCATATTGTCATATCACTTCCTTTCACACTGACTGTTTATTAGTATCTCCAGCCCCTCAGTGCTTTGCTTCTTAATCACAAATTAATCAACAACTTAATCCATCATTAGAAAAAAAGAATATGTTAGGTTAGAGAAGAATGAAAGGAGAAGGGATCCATTTTCCTTCCCCCTCTTTCCCGTATTTGATAGTTTATAATAAACAAATAAAAATGAAAAAGATAAAAATAAAATAAATTTCTAACAAACAAATGCTTCTTTTTTTTCTTTTTTTTCTTTTTTTTATCAGTTTCCTTGTGATGGTATTAGGAGATGTTAGGACTAGTCTGAGAAAGAGAAAAAG